TTATTAACGTCTACACCTACCTCAACCCTAAACCCAACCATCACAGTTATTAACATCTATACCTACCACAACCTTAAACCCAATCATCATCATTATTAACATTTACACCTACCCCAACCCTTAACCCAACTATACCTGTTATTAACGTCTACACCTATCCCAAACCTAAACCCAACCATCACAGTTATTAATGTCTACACTTTCCCCCACCCTAAATCCAATCATCATAGTTATTATCATCTACACCTTCCCCAACTCTAAACCTAACCATCATAGTTATTAACGTGTATACCTACCACAATCCTAAACCCAATCATCATCATTATTAATGTTTACAAAAACCTCAACCCTTAACTCAACCATCACAGTTATTAATGTCTACACTTTCCCCAACCCTAAACCCAACCATCATAGTTATTAACGTCAATACCTACCACAATCCTTAACCCAATCATCATCATTATTAACGTCTACACCTACCTCAACCTTTAACCCAACCATCACAGTTATTAACGTCTATACCTACCACAACCTTAAACCCAACCATCACAGTTATTAACGTCTATACCTACCACAACCTTAAACCCAATCATCATCATTATTAACATTTACACCTACCCCAACTCTTAACCCAACCATACCTGTTATTAACGTCTACACCTATCCCAAACCCTAAACCCAACCATCATCATCATTAAGGTACAGTCGCAAGTTGCGGAGGCTTTCATACTTGGCGTGCTCGCCATTGTACTGTTATTTGCAACCACAGAGGGCGACGCCGAGTAGGCTAACTGTCTTGACAAAACGGATGAAGTTAGCGAGTGGAGTTGCATGGTGGAGTTGCTAGTTGAATTAATATAATAATATATTAAACAAACTGGTTGTCGATAAATTTGGGGAAAACTCATGAAAACGTTTGGTGAAAATGTTCTCTGGTAAGTATTTCAGCCATCTTGCCAACAACATCTCGTTGTGACATCTCGCATGGTTCAATGGGATTTCGATAACTGCAAATTACGCCTCTAACTTAATACAATTTATGCCCCTTCATCTTACAGCCCCATCTTGCAGTCCGCAGACAGATACACTTGTAAAAAATCAGTCATCAGGTATTCGAATGGCTTTTTTCCACTGAATGGTAAAGTATAGGACAGTACAGCATGGCACGCGTTTATTTCAATTTACTTTACGACTTTTTGGGACCGTTTTCAAAAGGGTTACCTAGCACAACAACAGTTCGGTACCAAAAAGGTGGAGCTAGAAGCAAGTTCTCAATCAAGTACTTTTTTTTAGAAGAACTCAATTCAAGCAGTAAGATTTCATCAGCTACACTCTCCTTTACACACACACACACACACACACACACACACGTCAACATCAATGAGTTTTTAAGATGATATATACGAAGGAAAGGGTTCAGGAATCAGACTGCTGCCTATTCAAAAGCAGGGTGTAAATACTGAACTCCACTTGCCTGTCTCTGTTCTCCCAGAAAAAAAGGAGGGGTTGTGGGAATTGAACAACGGCCCACAGATACTACACGAAAATATGCCGCGGGCCAAAAGAGGTAGAAAAAGAGGAGAAAAAGAGCGAGGCGTGTTGGACTCATTGACCAGATGAAAGTGAAGTTCAAATAAAGAGCCTGATTTAATCGGCTCGGGCAAACTCCTCTTTTTTTTTTTTTTTTTTTGGGATGGTTAGACGGGCAGAGCGTGACGGGACGGGCTTTTGTGGCCTGCGCGCATGACGAGAGGCTCGCCCCCATTGTGACCGCCGCTCCAGGCCATGGAGGAACAGCCAAGGAGAACACTGGTCCCTATTGAGCCAAATAGGCTTTAATAAACTCCCGTCGCCATTAAGTGTGACACTGCATCCCCATCGGTATTATTTAGGGAGCTGAAGTGGTGTTAGCAGGGCATCAGTGGCAGTCAAATAACGTTCACCTTCATTAGTCACGCAGGCACAGGGTGTTAGCTCATCAAATATCATTACAGGGCAGCAAAACATCAGACGCTTCCGCTGTTGGCCAGTGGGCATCAAGAAGGAAAAAGTTGTTATGGTTTTTCTTTTAATTTCTTTGAGGTCTCTGTCCTTTTTTAAAGGGATAGTTCACCCAAAGAATATATGTTTCAAACTTGTTTGGGTTGCTTTTATCTGTTGAACACAAAAGAAGATGTTTTGAAAAATGTTGGACACTGATAGCCATCAAGCATTTTGTTCACTATGTATGTCGATTGCTACTGGTTTTCATACAGATTTGGAAGCACACTAGAGAGAGTAAATGGTGAGAAATATTGTTTTTTTGGGTGAACTATCGCTTTAACAGTCGTCATATTTTATTACACTGTAAAACCCAACAGTCAACTTTGTCAAATGAAATGAGTGTAGTTAACTCTAAATTTACTGAAAGTTCACTCTACTCATTTAAAAAGAGTTTTGAACTCAGTGTTGAAGGCAATGTTTTAATTAAATACCTCATTACATCAACTTAAATGGAGTAAGTTTCACAGTACTCATATAGATTTGTTTCTTTAACTGGTTTGAGTTTTAAATGGTTTGTAGCAATCGGTTTCCTCAAACGGTTTGAGTTGCCTTAACTTGGGTTTTACAGTACTCAGTGGGTTTGAGTTCTCTTCATTTATTTGTTTTACTGTGTTCTAACTGCTTCATTTACTGCAATGGAGTAAGTTCACAATGCTCATTAGGATTAGTTTTTTAACTTAAATGGTTTGTTGCAATCGGTTTCCTCAAATGGTTTGAATTAGCTGTTTTTTTTTTTGGTTTGTTTTTTACTGTAACTGTATTCTGTAAATCTTTCTGTTGATTGTATATGTAGACCCCATAATGTGCAACTTTGTGTTGGGTGGGATGAACACTTTGTTCACCATTTTTGTGGGGAAAATACAGTAAAATATGTTTGGTATTTGTGTGTTTTGTATAAAAAAATTTTCTCAAAATATGAACTGATGTTTCGTTTTCTTGTCGGCTTAGTCCGGGGTCGCCACAGCGGAATGAACCGCCAACTTATCCAGCAAGTTTTTAGACAGCGGATGCCCTTCCAGCCGCAACCCATCTCTGGGAAACATCCACACATTCACACACACACACACTCATACACTACGGACAATTTAGCCTACCCAATTCACCTGCATCGCATGTCTTTGGACTGTGGGGGAAACCGGAGCACCAGGAGGAAACCCATGCGAAGGCAGGGAGAACATGCAAACTCCACACAGAAACACCAACTGAGCCGAGGTTCGAACCAGCGACCTTCTTGCTGTGAGGCGACAGCACTACCTACTGCGCCACTGCCTCGCCCTGAACACTGATGTAATTAATGTAAAACACTATGACCAGTTCTTCTCCATTTATCATAATGACTTACTGTAAGCCTTTTTTTTATTCAGTGTTACACTTACTACTGACAGTGCATTATAAAATATTTCAGAATATTGTTTTTAAACAAAACAAACAAATACATGCTACCAAATATATTTTACTGTTTTTTTCCCACAAAAACAGTGTACACGGTGTTCATCCCAACCAACACAAAGTTGCACATAATGTGGTCTGCATATGCCATCAACAGAAGTATTTACTGAATACAGTTACAGTAAAAAAAAACTGCTAACTGCATCCTCTTTTCTGTTTTGGTCTTGCCAAGCAGCACAGATAATGTCACCTTGCATGGGGATTCCAGCCATGAAAAGCATCAACTGCTATAGCTTGGAGAAGGGGTATACGTGTGTGTGGATTTCCGTCATACACTTTCTATCTCCGAGCAGGAAAAAAATCCTCAATAGGATTGAAGAATGGAGAATATGGAGGGAGATACACAACTAAAAAACGTGGATGGGCAGTGAACCAGTTATGAACCAGATGAGCTCTGATTTCTAAACTGCAGTTATGTGTGACAAGTGTTTACTCATGTGATGAGTTAGTATGCAAAGTCTGACTTTACAATTGTGAATGACAGTGTGTTCCTCGTGAAAACAAGACATTTTCTGCATGAAAGTTGTGCAAAATGCAGAGAATTGTGTGTAGTGTTTTAAAAAAAAGTGTGTTTTAAACCTGCAATTTGAGTGTAAAGCAGGAATTGGTTCAGGGGGTTGGTGCATCAGTTACATGTTGTAGTCATTGTGTCTGAAGTAATTGTGTGTAAACAACAAAGAAAAACTGTAATAGTTTAAAGTGATATATTGTCTGGGTTGGTGTTGCATTTTTGGTACAAAAACCTTGTAAACGTCTAGTACATGTTTTGATATTTTACAGACTTATTTCTTTCTATGTAACTATTTATCCATTATTTTATTTTAAGCTACTAAAATGTCAATAAAAGTCACTTTGTTGAACGGTTAAATTGAATTTACAACATCAAAAGTCGACAGGGTAGAGATCAACATGCAAAAATGCAATTCATGACCGTAAATAAACAGAAAACAGAATCACAAAATACAAAAACTGTTATTTAATATATATTTTAAGCCCTTCAGACCTGAATTGTGTTCCAAATTTCAGAAAAATGGGATGTCATGTGATGTACACTGCTGCAAAATGCTTTTCTTACTTAGATTTTTTATCTTGTTTCTAGTCTGAATATCTAAAAATTCCTAAATCAAGAAGCATTTTCTAGACGAGCAAAACAAGACGATATGTTTTGCTTGTCTACAAAATGCTTCTTGATATAAGAAATTTTAGATATTTAGTCTAGAAACAAGACAAAAAATCTAAGAAAAGCATTTTGCAGCAGTGTATAACGTAATGGACGCAGGGTCTGAAGGGGTTAAGAGTGTGGAGGATGAGTAAATGAGGCAGAATTTTTTTTAAAACTTGCATGAACTATCCCTTTAAGACATTTACTTATTAAATACAAACTTTTCTATTTCAGTTTCCTCATGTTTAGAGGCTCATCTTCAACACCTACACTCACATTCGCCAACAATTCTGTCTAACAGCTGTTGATATTGAAGTGAAGAGTTTGTAAATGATCATCCACTCACATCTGTCCGCTAGAATCCCCTCGATGCTGTGTGCTCCCCGGTGGGCGTTTTCTTCCCGCTCGCGCCTCTCAATGTCTTCTTCATCCTCCTCTTCCTCCTCCTCGTCAGCTCGAGTGCCAGATCTGCCTCTCATGATGCGGCTTATTGAACTCACTGGGTTGAAGAGTTGAGTGTGTGAGTAATATGGTTGCTTTATACATTTCAGTAATGTGGTTCTGTAATATACTTATATGCTTCAGTAATATACACTAACCGGCCACTTTATTAGGTACACCTGTCCAACTGCTTTTTAATGCAAATTTATAATCAGCCAATCACATGGCAGCAACTCAATGCATTTAGGCATGTAGACATGGTCAAGAGGATCTGCTGCATTTCAAACCGAGCATCAGAATGGGGAAGAAGGGGATTTAAGTGACTTTGAACGTGGCATGGTTGTTGGTGCCACACTGACTGGTCTGAGTATTTTCAAAAACTGCTGATCTACTGGGATTTTCACGCACAACCATCTCTAGGGTTTACAGAGAATGATCCATACAACCATTCAGGCAACAGTATCTCAAATAACCACTCATTACAACCGAGGTATGCAAAAAAAAGCATCTCTGAACGCACAACACGTCCAACATTGACCATCTCATAAACCGCGAATCATCTCAGACTGGTTTCTTTAACATGACGATGAGTTCACTGTACTTAAATGGCCTCCACAGTCACCTAAGCTCATCCAATAGAGCACCTTTAGGATGTGGTGGAACAGGAGAGTCACATCATGGATGTGATGCTGACAAATCTGCAGCAACTGTGTGATGCATGTCAATATGGACCAAAATCTCTGGGAATATTTCCAGTACCTTGCTGAATCTGTCACAAAGGATTAATGCAGTTCTGAAGACAAAAGGGGGTCCATCTCAGTACTAGTAAGGTGCACCTAATAAAGTGGCCGGTGAGTGTATACATCAGTAATAATATGGTTTAGTAATACACTTTATACATACAATAATATGGTCGCTTTACACATTTCTTTTACATTTTAAACATGTTTTTCAAATGTTTTGGTTATAGTCACATTTTGTTGTTCCTGTAACTATTAAAACTGCTGCCAGAGACTATAAGCACTTGAGTTTTTATGGTAGATGTAACAAATACTACATTTTCTATAGTGTAAATTGACAAAATAAGTTTATTTATTATAGATTACAAGAAAATCTATTATAAGAATCTAAAAAGATGTTATAAAATATAGGATATTACAAACACATAACAAACTTAGTGTTTTGTTAAGAGGCTAAATATGAGTGCTCATAAAATTATGTTTGCTGTTTGTTTAAAGTACTTATTTAAATTGAGCTGAAACAACACAATAATTGTGTTTTATTTTGGGACAACTTAACTGTTTTATGTTCATTTCACTTAAATTTGTAAAAACTATTAAGTTTACTTCATTCTTTCATGTTGCCACATTACAAACCACATTTTTTAGTGTGCATGTAACATTCTAAGTTTTCCATAGTGTTAATTGACAAAATATGTTTGTTGTTTATTATAGATTACAAGAAAGTCTATTATAAGAATCTAAAAAGATTATACAAGAAAATTACCAGCACATAACAAAAGTTTAGTGTTTTTTGATGTCTTAAGAGACTAAATATGAGTGCTCATAATTGATGTTTGCTGTTTGTTCAAACTAGGTATTTAAATTGAGCTGAAACAACACTAATTATTGAGTTTAATTTTGGCACAAATTAACTGTTTTATGTTCAATCCACTTAAATTTGTCAAAATTTTTAAGTTAACTTCCTTCATGTTGTTCCAATACAAATCGATTGTGTGGAAACCATTTTTAGTGCATCTAACAAAGTATTTCATTGTGTAAATTGACTAAATATGTTTGTTGTGTAATATAGATTACAAGAAAATCTATATTAAGAATCTAAAAGGAAACTATTACGAACACAAAATTATTTTTTGTCTTAAGAGACTAAAGCAATGTTTGCTTCTCGCTCAAACTACTTATTTCAAATGACCTCCAACAACAAAGTTAGTTAATTAGTTAGCTAGCAAGCCAGTATTGTTCAACTCATACCAGTGGGTACGTTGTTCCGGTCACAGATTCCCTCTTTGAGCAATTTATCCCGAATTTCCCAACTGAATATTCCAGGATTCTCCCGTTTATATTCCTCAACGCGCTTCTCCACATCCGGAGATGTCGTCTGTCAAAAATAATGTAAAAAGTGCCTGATGCTGTTATTTAAATTCAGTCAACATGGTCATCGCTTTCGGTAGACATTCTGCTTTGAATTTGCCCACTTTCCTGGGAAATCCGCTCATCCACGGGCCTCACCTTGGATTTAGTCCCGCCGATGGCTCCAGGCCGGATGGATCCAGTCTCCTGATACCGGCACAGGATTTTGGAGACGCAGCCGTGAGAGACTCTGAGCTGGCGGGATATCACGCAGGGCCGGATTCCGTGATGGGCCATCTCTACTATCTTATGGCGAATGTGGTTGGGCAGAGGCCGACCGTTGATGAAAACTCCCCCGAGCTGGTTGACTCGACCCTGACCCATCGGAGTTGACACTGCATCGAAGCAAATCCAGATGATGTGACGGTGGTGAAATAATCAAAGGAAAAGTTGCAGAAACATGGAAGAAATAAGAGAATTTGTGCATGCATGGCAGAGGCATCTTTGAAGTGTGCTTTTAATGAAGATGTAAGACAATTATTTTAGTCTTTATAGGCTCCATATGAACATGTAGTGCAAATTGTGTATATCACAAATGAAAGTGGTTCTAAAGTTAAAATCTTCTCAACTTACTATTGTACTACTTACATGTAATCAATCAGCTAAGGAAATTAATATAAAATGGATAGAACTGCGTAGAAATCTATCTTTGAAGTGTGCTTTTAATGAAGAGGTGTAAATTATTTTACTCTTAAGGCTCCTTATAAGTTATTTCCCTATGTGTAGCGCTAAAAGAATAAAAAACATCAATTAACAAAAACACAACGATTAATAATTATTATTAAATAACAGCTATTAACAGGAACATGTCCATTTGCTTTAAAGGATAGTGGTTGTGTAGTTTGAATGTCCAATATTTATTCATATTGAAATGTAATCAATAAGCTATGAATACTGAAATAGAAAATACTCTAGAACTGGGTAGAAATGCATGGAAACCAACCTTTCGGTATTGCAGATGCATATTTGAATCGTGCTTTGTATTAAAGAGGGTTTTTTTATTATTCTTTAGGCTCCCTAAGTTATTTTCATAAATGTAGCGCTAAAGATTATATAAAAAATAAAACAAAAAAAGTCCATTTGCTTTAAATGAAAGTGATTGTAAAGTTTGAATCTCCTATTTACGTATATTTAAATGCAATCAGTCAGCTATGGCAATTATAATATAGGCGAAATGCCACTGGGTAGAAATGCATGAAAACCAACCTTTTGTTATTGCAGATGCATCTAAGAAGTGAAGAGATAATCATTATTTTAGTCTTTAGGCTTCCTTTGAAGTTATTTCCCTAAATGTAGCGCTAAAAATTCTAAAAATAAACCAGCTTCAGAAAAACGTATTTGCTTTAAATGAAAGTGGTCATAGATATTTACCTTAGATCTATTAAAAAGTGGTTGCAATGTTAGAATCCCCTACTTTTATACATAATTAAATGTAATCAGATGGCTTTGGAAATTAAACTAAATAGCCTATAACTGAATGGAAATCTTGGGAATTATTGGGAAGGAGAGTTAAATGCATGAAAAACTTTTTTTGTTGTTGTTGAAAAGCAGATGTATCTCTGAAGTGTGCTTTCAATGAAGAGGTAAGACGATTCTTTAAGTTTTTTATAGGCTCCATATGAGTTTATTTCTTTATATCTAGGGCTAAAAAAACTCTAAAAATAAATAAAACAACAAAAAATCATGATGCGATCTTTGCTTTAAATGGAAGTGGTTATAAAGGTCAAATCTCCTATATTTATTCATATTTTAATTTAATCAACCAACTTCGGAAGTTAGCATATAAAAAACCGAGTACAATTTATGTGAATATTGGGAAGGAAAGTTAAATCAACCTGTTGTTGTTGTTGTTGTTGTTGTTGTTGTTGTTGTTGTTGTTGATAAGTTATATCACGTAACAATCATAATCCGACCATTAGTTTTTAAATAATCTTTTTATTATTTTTGGAAAACCAAAACAAATACAGTAATGTAAAGAACGTAATGTAATAATTTAACACGAACACATTTAAAACTTAAGTTAAAAGTTATACAAAGAACACCTAAAGAACATTTATTTCATATTTTTATAATAAAAATCAACATAATGTTGACTGCAATGCATGATTTATTTTTATGTTAGCAAAAGATAACTTAAAAAAACTTACATAATAAAATAATATAGGCTAACAGTTAAAAAAAAGTCTGCATTTGGCCTAAATTACCATTAATTACGATTAAAAATACCTTAGAAAGTATTAAATAACACAGTTAAGTTTTTAAAAAATGATTAAGTATTAGTCTAAATTGCTACTAATAAATACAACGATGTTTTTACGCTTTAAAAAGTAACATAGCCTACCCTCCATGGGGAATCCACTGCGGGGATAGTTTGGAGAGAGTGATGGGCGCATCATCCTGGGAATGGTCCCTGGGAAAGCGGTCATTGCTCCGGGAAAGCGTTGACCAAAATCTTAGGACTTAAAATGCATGTAATATTCCACGATCAATAAACAAAAACAAATAATTAATTTCCGATGATCTTGTAACTATCCCTCGAGGAAAAGAAATGTAGTCTAGGATGAAAAGTTAGTAATCAGATGTAGAATCTCCCCTTGTGTGGTTCCTGCTCGTTGTTCTCATTATGTGAGGAGAATTATAATCGCCGCGTTTTTTGTTATTAAAAGGCGTTTAGGTTGAACTCGAGTTCTCAAACTACTGAGACATTTATGAGTTTGCGGAGCCCTCCTTGTCTATTATTCCAACCGCTCATCTGATTGGCCCACAGAATCCCGTTAGCGAGAGCTGATTGGTCGAAGAAGTACACTTTTGCTTCCTGAGGGTTCCAGTGTGGGATATTATTTGGCCACTTTGTGTTAAAAGATTATACATAGGCTACATTGTACCTAATATATGAAATTATTAGGCTACTTACACAACTATAAATAAATGCTATTTAAATATTACAATAGCTACATTTGTGTGACATTTTATTGGCAAAAAGTTTTAGTGATGGTCCTAGTGATACTTATGTAATATACATATTTAAATAAAAACATCCCCCTCCCAAAATAATAATAATTAAGCCATATTATTTAAATTCACTACTAGGCTAAATGAGATGACTGACTTTGTGGTTTAACACACACACACACACACACACACACACACACGACTTCAATGACATGTGGCCCTTTTGTTGGACTAAAAAAGAAACTTCAAATGTTTTCTTTCTGCCTGCTCGCGCGGACAATGGCGCGCACGCGGGAGGGAAACACGCGGGGAAACGGGGGTCCTTTCACGTGCAAAACACGATTATTCTCTCTTACTTAAAAAGTTAAATCGACGCCAAAGAGGCCGGACCCTGGAGACTGCGACCCAACTATTTAATGGGTATGAGAAGTTAACAGTGTGCGTGTGTGTGTGCGCGTGTTTATAAATGAGTTTCTAGTAGGCTAAATGCATTTACTTCAGGATTATTTATAGAGCACTTTTTGTTCTATCAGATTAAATATGTGTTCTGGATGCATTTTAAATCTGTTGCAAGTAATTTCTTAATTTTACAGAGACTTTAAATCTCTTTATTGTCCTACTTTACAATAAGGTGCCATTAGCTAATGATAGTTATTAATGAACAAGACTTGCACACCATTTATTAATAGTCTAACATTTACAAGCCTAATGCATTCTTAAAATCCAAATTCATGGTTGTAACATCAATGCAACATCATGAACGAACAATGAACAAGTTTATTTCCATTAACTAACGTTAACAAAGAAGAATAAATACTGTAATAAATGCATTGCTTATTGTTTGTTTATGTTATTATGTTAGTAACCTATACATTATTTATTTAAATTCAATAATTCCTTCACTGGCATTACAAATGTATTGCCAAAGCATTTATAAAGTTTACATTAAAGGACACACACACACACACACACACACATATATATATATATATATATATATATATATATATATATATATATATATATATATATATATATAACATAGTAAACACAGTAAATAGTAGTGGTGGTGGTGGTAGTAAATAATAACTTTTAAAAATCAGAATAAGTTAATTTACAATCAACATTTATGGATAAAACAGTAATAATAAATAATCATAATAATCAGTATCTACAATGATTAATTTATAATAATCTCTGTATTCATTAACTATACAAATACCTATAAATAAATATACCTATACAGTATAATACGCAGTCTAATATAGAATTCACAGAACGGCGCGATTCTTTGGCGTTCTAAAATTCTAAAGATTCCAAAATAGAACCAAATAGATTCGAAGTGTTTTTAAAACAAAACAATACACGTAGTATTACAGTTTATTAATTATTCTGTATTTAGTTCAAAAAATTATCTATAATTTTGGATGTGTAACATTAAAATTATTTAAAATTGGATATTATTGGCTTTATTTAGAATAATCTCCTCCTTTACAATACACATTGGGTTGTGTTCTATTCAGAACTCAGCTTCAAAAGGTCAAAAGCAGAATGTGATTGGCTGAAAGTGAGCGAGTGGGAACAGGCAGCGGTTTGAAACACAATTCTTTTGAAACACCGGATCCGCGTGTCGAATCCATTTTAGGGGAACAGACCTGGAGCTGAGCCGCGCTCTGATGAGAACTTAATTGGTTATATTGTCAGAGGTCAAATGTCGATATTCTGTAAGCAAATTGTGTCAAAATAATTTGAATCGGTTTGATAATACAGGAAAGTTATTCAAAAGTTTTAAATGTACACAATGGAAGCCAAAAGCGCTTTATGTATCGAATCACTCATGCATAGCCTACATACATGATATAAAGACTGCCATTATAATTACACACAAAATACAAACCTGTAGAAGAATTTAACTTCAGCAACAACACACACAAAATCAGCAGTAGTGAACTTCTTGAACAGTGCAAAAGTTGTTTATGTCATCTGTCTTGTGATCTGTCTTGTCCAGCCTGAGGAAGGTCACCACCCCTTTAACCTCAATTAGATGGGGTTCACTCTGAGAAAACGTAAATCCTCCCCAAAGACAACTTCGGAATCAAATCATCTGTCCTGCATTTGCCGCCACGAGCATATATGAGCTCCAGGCTACAAAAAACAAAGCATGGAGAGCAAACCATCGAGACAACCAGCTGAGACACTTAGCAGGTACTGAAGACGTTTATCATGCTTTTTTCAGAGTTTGGATGGTAAAAGGTCAGCATTACTCAACTTCGGTTGTCTAAGATAGTTGTCAAATTTGCATTCATACAAACAATTTCTTTTTCTTTTTTTTGTTATAACTTCTTATGTTACCATCATTTTCCTTCCTATTTCTGTTTTACATTATAGCAGCATTTTGCCCTACACTGTATGCCCAAAACTCCCAAGGTGCATAGGGCCCCGCAAGGCTCCACAAAATAAATAAATTAATAAAGAAATATATATATATATATATATATATATATATATATATATATATATATATATATATATATATATATATATATATATATATATTCAGACAACGCAGTAGGTAGTGCTGTCACCTCACAGCGTGAAGGTCGCTGGTTTGAGCCTCAGCTGGGTCAGTTGGCGTTTCTGTGTGGAGTTTGCATGTTTTCCCTGCGTTCACGTGGGTTTCCTCTGGGTGCTCCGGTTTCCCCCACAGTCCAAAGACAGTAAATTGGGTAAGCTAAATTGTCCGTAGTGTATGAGTGTGTGGGGATGTTTCCCAGAGATTGGTTGCGGCTGGAAGGGCATGTAATGTGTAAAAAACGTGCTGGATAAGTTGGCGGTTCATTCCACTGTGGCGACCCCGGATTAATAAAGGGACTAAGACGAAAATAAAATGAATGAATTAATATTCATTTAGAAAATATTCATATTAGGTACATCTTACTAGTACCGGTTTGGACCCAATTTTGCCTTCAGAACTGCTTTAATCCTTCGTGGCATAGATTCAACAAGGTACTGGAAATATTCCTCAGAGACTTTGGTTCATATTGACAGGATAGCATCACACAGTTGCTGCAGATTTGATGGCTGCACATCCATAATGCGAATTTCCCGTTCCACCACATCCCAAAGGTGCTCTATTGGATTGAGTTCTGGTGACTGTGGAGGCCATTTGTGTACAACTGAGTACAACTCATTGTCATGTTCAAGAAACCAGTCTGAGCATGGAAAATATTCTCTGTAACCCTAGAGATGGTTGTGCTTGAAAATTCCAGTAGATCAGCAGTTTCTGAAATACTCAGACCAGCCTGTCTGGCATCAACAACCATGCCATGTTCAACGTCTCTTAAACCCCCTTTCTTACCCATTCTGATGCTCGGTTTGAACTGCAACAGATCTTCTTGACCATGCCTAAATGCATTGAGTTGCTGCCATGTGATTGGCTGATTTTATATATATATATATATATATATATATATATATATATATATATATATATATATATGTGTGTGTGTGTGTGTGTGTGTGTGTGTGTGTATGTATTATATATATGAAGGCTCTTTTAGGCAAGGCTTCAAATTGTAAACTCTTTTTTAATGTTTAATTTTTATTGAATGGAAATCATTGTGTTCTTCCAAAGAAGTTTGGTGCTGCACTGTAAAAAGCAATTTGTTGACTTTACTTTAAAAAAAGAAAGTAACATAAATGAATTGCAATTATAAAATGTAAAAAATGCTGGGTTTCACACAACTCGTTCATGTTGACCCAACACAAATCAATTAAGTTAACTTTACAATTTTAAGTTGATTGAACATAAAACAGTTAAGTTGTCCAAAATAAATCTCATGAAATGTGTAGCTTCAACTCATTTTAAACAAGCAGCAAAACATTTTTTATCAAGTGTAAGGACTTCTGTAATTATGGTAGAAACAAAAGCAGTAGTTTCACATTCCTACAAATGACACGACAGCAACACTTTTCTTCATTGTCATCATTTATTAGCCAGCTGAGAGGTGCGTTTTTGTATGTAAACAAAAGAAGTTCAATGTGCAAATACAATTCAAACAGGTTTCACAACAGTTATTGAGGCATACTAGTTAAAAACCACACAATTGCTAATCTCTAATAAACATATCACAGAGTATATAAGGGCTGTGTACAAAGCCCGGGACCCTACGCAGTGTTACTAAGAGGGCAGGAGTGCATTAGGGAAGTATAATCATCCCAGGCAGTAACACTGGGTTCAGGTTATATTACTGTGTCGAGGAAACAGACGTGTATGATCAAAATATATGTGCACATCAGGCCTGATGGTCCACACAGTCACAGCGATAGCGGTACGATGAGATCCAGGGAAAGTCACATTAAATATTATGGAATCACTTTACATATTTTGATCGTCATTCTTTACAGATTGGTTGTTATTTGAACAAGTTACCATTTCAGGCTCACATAAATAAAGCATTTGGATCACGATAAA